GGGCTAACTTTCGCACTACACACCAGGTCAACTGGGTAGCAAATTCACACCACACATCATCAAATCTTCAGCCATGGCTCAGCACCAAATTTACTCGTTTGCTTTAACAGTATAAATTCCCTCACACCTCACAAACAGATGTGGACTAGGACAGTCACAACTGTTCTCTGCCTATAGCGACCTTAAGTGATGCTAATTATTGCACTTGCTTTCAGAAATTGCTGATCTCCGGGCGAAATTAGGTAAGGATAACTATCAGTTCTTTACTTATTGTTAGAAAGCTAGCGTCACAACCAGCATTTATCGCCCATTCTTAACTACCTCTCAGAGGAAGGGAACAGTGGCACAATAATAATGTTACTTAATGAGAAATCCAGCGACCTGGACTAATATTCTGGCGATATGAGTTCAAATGTCACGCCAGTCAGGTTTAATTAATAAACAAGAAATCAAAAATTTCATCACTATTATTGACATTATAGCTCCGTTAGTTCACAAACACCCTTCAGGAATGACAACCTACCATCTAGGTGCTTTGGTCTTTCGGTGACTCAAGACCCATAGATACATGGATCACTCAGAACTGCCTTCTAGCTTTTCAAACCACACGTGCTAAACTGCTACATGAGAGTCAAAGTCAGAGAATACTTTAGAATAACATTACATGATTGTACATACCATAAATCAACCTGTTCAGACATCTTACAACAATCTTTAGCAATGGGGCCTGAACCCACATTACTATTGCCCCTCAAGACCCCATATTATGTTATTAAAATCTGTTGTATTTTTCAACATAGCTTTTTCAATCCAGGCAGGGAAGTTAGCCTTCCTTCTCTAAATTCAACCAGGTGGAGCTTTGAAACAATGGATTACAATTTCATGGTGGTTACAGAAACTTGTTATCAATTGCAGATTTAATTCAATTCCACCAGCCTCCCGGGTGGTCTTGTTCCTCTGTCCCCAGAGCATCAGGTATCTGGCTTGCCAGTCCAATGGCATTATTGCTGCACCACTGTATATCAATATTGTTACCGAATTTTTACTATTGCCAGAAGCCACCATCCGAATGACAATTGGAAAGCTAACATTATGGGAAATTATTCTGATTTCCAACGAATTAGAAGGTCTAATTTCCTAAGCAGCATTGAAAGGGTTTTTCTGTCAAATGTGCACCTATAGGTCGAAATGGTTCAACAGCAAAAGTGATCAGGTCAGGGGGGCGGGGGTGTAACAATTTGACTAAACTGCTTTCTGCTTGGCCTGATCTTCACTTTAAATGCAGTCAATGGCAGTCCTGCTATAATTGCAGGCTACCAGCTGAGCTGAGTTTCTGACCCACTTGGAGAATGGGGATACAAAACCATCAGCCGCAGCTTGACGGTGCATTTACATTCCCCAAAAATTAGGATGGCTGTTATCATACGCGTTCAATCAGATATCTGGCCTCGTGAGTAAACGCACGCATTAACATGACCTGGTTTTATTGATTTTTGTTTATTCCAGGAATAAAGAAAGAACCGAAGGAAAAAGGTAAGAGTTTTGGGATGAACTGCGTTGTCAAAAGAACAGTAAGACTTAAAGGGGTAAAAATTTGCCTCGGGCGGTGATGCTAAACAGATATAAAAACAAAGTTGCTGGAAAAGCTCAGCAGGTCTTGCAGCATCTGTGAAGGAGAAAACAGAGTTAACATTTCGGGTCCGGTGACCCTTCCTCAGAACGGTCACGGAAACGTTAACTGTTTTTTTCCTTCAAAGATGCTGCCAGACCTGCTATGTTTTTCCAGCAACTTTTGCTTTTGTTCCTGATGTAGAGCATCAGTTCTTTCGGTTTTTATTATGCTAAACAAATATGCCGTTCTGAAACCGCCTGTTTTGCGCCACTCCCCGAGAGGAATTTCTCCCTTCTTTAGTGCCGAGGTATTTATAACTTTTGACATTAACTAAAAAGGGTGACATCAGATTGACGACTCTTTTCGGGCTTAATTGGTGTTAATTGAATGCAAAGTCAGGAGAACTGTGCAAAGAGTAGTGGCTGTGATACCGACCAGTGCACGTTTCGATACAAATTATCCCCGGTCTTGATTCTTGGTCACTGTAAGACATGGGTGTCGCTTCCCGGACCAGCATTTATTACCCGTCTATGACTGCTTTGAGAAGGTGATTATGAGCTGCCTGTTAGGAACACAGCAGCTGGAGTAGACTCAATTTGTTTGCCTTGGACCAATAACTCTTGGTATCTCTGCTTAATAAAAAAAAAGTCCACCTCGTTTAAATTTAACAATTGAATTAGAATCGACGACTGTTTGAGGAAGAGAGTTCCAAACCTCCACTACTCTTTGCCTGTCTACAGAAGTGTTTTCTAACATTTCTCCTGAACTTCCTGGCCCTTATTCTTAGACTACACCTCCTGGTCCTAGAATCTTCAACCAATGGAAATAATTTATCTGCATCTACCCGTCCTTCCCTGTTCATATCCTGAATACCTCAATTAGATCGACCCTTTCTAAATTCCAGAGAATAAAATGCCTAATTTGTCTAAGTTCTCCTCACAACTTAATGCCTGAAGTCAGGTGCCATCTTTGCAAACCTCCCTCCAGGGCCAGACTATCCTTCCCAGGACGTGATGCGCAAATTTGCTCACAGTACTCCAAGTGGGCTATTCAATATCTCCAAGGATATAGTGACAAGTTTGAAAGCGGGCGTGCAGTTCACTCAAATTACTGCCAAATGTGAATTTGTTTGGTATAATGCCAATCTCAGATTGGCACAAATAGTCTATTGTATTAATTTCTAATCAGCCTGAGGTTTCTAATCACCCTGTGTTAATACCACATAGCGGTCCTGTGTATTTTCACTTGCTCTGCCCACTGACAACCTCCAACTGGCAGATTCGCTGCCCATCAAACATTAATATCCGTTCCAACGCAATGAGCAGAAATTCATTAGTGAAAGCTGACCCCTATACTACAGCAACTTGGCTGATGGTAGGTGGACAAGGTATTGACCCTGCCTCACGAGATAGGATACAATGTGTGACAGTGAGTCAGCGATCCATTTTAAACCACTCTCCGATTTTCACAAAAGAAAAAATGCTGGGGTTCAAAGTGAGTCAGGCAGCATCTTGGGAGAGAAAGCAAGCTAACGTCTCAAGTCACTTTCTTTGAAGCAAAATGGAAATGCCACATCAATGCGGTACAACCTGGTCGTTCAACCACTACTGCATGTTTACTGCCTGACAGTAAATGTGAAAAGTTACAGCTCAGTCTCTAAAATATGGGGCACAAAACAACTTGATCAGAACCTGTCCGTAAAATAAGAAGAGAACAGACTTCATGCAGCACACTTCTACCAGCATAAACCAAGGAAGTCAAACCACCCTAAGGCCTATGAGGAGTGAAAGTGGGCATTGGCATGAAGGAAAACAGATGGAATTCCATTTGTCAAGGGTTAGACACTGCGCCCAGTATTGAGTTTGATTGAAGTCATCTTTCAATAAATATTAACACGTTCTGCTGGTATGCATGGCGGGAGGGGAGGAGACAGAGGTGTACACATACCTGAATTCACGCGGGAGCCTCCGTGCTCCCCTCCCACAGCACCAGCCCCTTACCCCAGACCCCTTTACTTTTTCTAGTGCTGGTTCCAGTTAAGCACAAACTAGAAATAAAATCAGAATTTGTTAGAGAAACTCAACAGGTCCGGCTGCATCTGTGGAGATAAAACAGAGACTCTCTTCAGAACTAGACAGAAAACGCTAACTCTGCTTCTCTCTCCACAGATACTGCCAGACTTGCTGAGTTTCTCCAGCCATTTCTGTTTTTTTTTGTCTCATGTTTCTAGCAACAAATCAGAACCGATAACTTTTCCCACGCCAGTATTTGAATTGTGTTCATTTCTCTAACTTTATGTGCCCTACGCAAATTTGCATGTAGAAATACCGAGATTATAACCTTTGAGGTTCTCGTTTTATATTAATAAAGGTACCTAGCTCCTCATATTCTAGGTACCTCTTTCCTACTTCTATCCAATTAGTCACTCATAACGCAACATTATTTTGATGAAAAGGGATAATGTGGGATAGGGATTGTGGAGGTGGTAATCTGTTGCATATCTTCCATTTTACAACGTAAGACCATATGAAATAAGAGCAGGAGCTATCCACTCAGCCCTTCGAACCGCTCTATTGTCAGGGAGGTCAGGATAATCTTCCACTTCGACTCCAAGGCTAGCATCCGAAATTAAAAATGGTTGCTGAGACAGCAACGGCGAGGGATAGAGAGAGACAGAGAGAAAGATTGGGAAAGGGAAAGAAATTGCCAGAGATTGTAGAAGTTATGTTAGACTTAAAAAGGACACTTCAGCCTCCACTGGGTGCTGCATTTTACGAAGAATTGTAGAGAGTGCAGAACAGGTTGACATCCATTATTCCAGGGTTGTGGAATTTCAGTTCTGAAAATACTTCAGTGAAATTGGACAGAAGGCTGGAAGAAACTTCGATTTAATAATTGAAAATCATGACCAGTCCGACAGAATAAATCGGGGGAAAATGTTCCCACCAGGAAAGGAACCAGAAAGAGAAGGCCAAGTGTTATGAGAAAGAGGTCTAATCGTTGCGCGGAATGGTTAGGATCTGGACACTGCTTGGGACTGGAGGGCTGATGCAGGTTCGATGGAGCCATCCAAGAGGGAAATAAGACGATTTATGGAAAAGGGTTACAGGGATAAAGCAGGTGATTGACACTCAGTGGGTTGTTCATTTGAATAGCTGGGACAGAGACGATGGGCTGAATGGCTTCCTTCTGCGCTGAGACGATACTGTGGACTGTCCAGCAGCCGCTAGTATTGACGGTTCCTCTCAATTTTGTGTGTGTGTGTGTGTGTGTGTCTTTTTGTTTTGCAGTTACCATCCATTTCGATGAGGCGCACTCGGATCCACAGTTCGTGCTGCACAAAGCGGAGAGCAGCGCCACGTGGGGAACAGCGCCCGAGGGACTCAGCGCAGGGCAACGAATGTACCTCGGCAACTGGCGGCTGTGGGGAGCGGAAGGCTTCACGTACGGGACGCACTACTGGGAGGTGCAGGTGGAGGACGGCTCGGCCTGGTTCGTGGGCGTCTCTGTGAACTCGTACCGGGCCAGATCGTGGCTGAAATCTCTGCCCAGCAGCGGTCTGTGGCTGGTCATGCTGTGGAACGTCGGAAAGGGCAAATACCCGTCCAGGTCCCTCGGGAACGCCATCAAGGTAGTGGAGATTCCGAAGGTCGGGGTTCTGCTGGACTTCGACGGCGGGAAGGTGATTTTTTCCAACCCTAACAACAACGACGCTGTTGTCCACTCACTAAGCGGCAAGTTCACTGAAAGGCTTTACCCCTTGTTCAGGTTTTGTCTGTCCATCAAGAAAAATCCCAAAATCAGCCTGCTCTGAGGACCACCACCGCCCCGCCTTCCCTTCCCTACCTCAGCCCCGCGACCCTGACTCAGTGAGCGAGAGCGCCCCCCCAGTCAGGCAGCGGAAACTGCACGTCAGGACACGTCGAGGACGCCATTCCCCAGCTGCCTTTGAGGTTTTTTTTTTAGTTCGCCCACTGACCGCCAAGCGGCGCTACTTCCACAAGTCTCCTCTGTCGCTGCGATGGGATTGGTTGGGCCGGCGAGAAAGTGACAACCAGGCGCTGGGCTCCCATGTTTTTCGTGGTTTTTTTTTAAGCTGGAAATGGGTTGTAATAATGGGTTTTGTGTGGGTCAGTCCGCTCTTTGGAATGAGAAAGCTGTTTGGCCAGGTCTCTCAATCTTGCTCTAAGCCACAGGAGCATCAAACATACGTTGGGTGGGGGTGGGGGGTGATGGGATGCAGGGTGTTTTTGGAGGGATTGGGTTTAAGTTGTATGAGTACACCGGGGAAAGGTGGGAGGGATTCTTGGACCGCTGGATGAGTTCTTGCTTAGCTGCTCCTCCTCTTTGCATCCTTCTCCACATCCCCGCGCCCACCTACCCGCTCCCAACACTATTCAATCTCACATCCTCTATTCACCTCTCTCTTTGTCTTGCAGGATGGTGGAGCTGATATGTTCTAGTTTTGTGCTAGCAAGGTCCAGTTCGCCGCACCCCACACCGCCCCGACCCTATTTCCTGCTTTTTCTAATGCTCCAGGCGACAACGTGCCTCCTGTGCTGCCGATCCAGAAATAAGCGTGTTCCCCGGCCAAAAGGACCTTTCCTAGAATATTGTCAAGAGCTACTAACGATGCGCGCGAATTTAGTCTAATCGTTTTTAATCCGGCTCTAATATCAGTTCTGCATTTCAGAACCTAATATCGTCCAAGGTATAGGATATTAAAGATTGAAATGTTTTTAACCAAATCATTCTGAAAATGTTGATCCAGCATTGACCTGACAAGGCTTAGATTACAAGCGACAGCTAGTAATATTGATAACCACGGGTGTCCGACGGTATTCCTGTCCGTGCTGTATTAACTAACGCATGTGTTAACTCACCTGTTATCTATGAAGCAGAGGCGGAATGTTCACTGTTATTCTCTTGAATCGCCACAACTCTGTGAAAACGCGGAAATTCCTGGGGCCTCGGCTAGATTGTGCTTTGCCGTCGTCCTCAAGTCCTGAACTCCGCCCTTACCTTTCAGAGACAAATGACCATTCTGCTCAAATACACAAGTGGCTTTGAAATGCCGTGTGTGAAAGTATGATGGTACAAACGGACTGGCACGGCTGCTCGGTTCACCAGTATGACATTCATCGAAACAGAATAGGTGTAAGATTACACTCTTCGGCCCATCGGGTTCGCTCCGCCATTCAGCACAAACATGGCTAATCCTCTATTTCAAAGCCATACTTCTTACTCTGCCCCAACCCCCTTGGTGCCTTTACAGTCTAGAAATTATCTACTTCTTGCTTACGCAGATTCAGTGACTTGGCCTCCACAGGTTCACCCACCCTCTGAAAGAAGATATTTCTCCACATCTCTGCCCTGTAACCTGGGACCGTCTAACTGTCTCGGGTTAATGCCAAAACATTTCCACAGGAAGGCTAATTGCAGGACCATACCATCATACAGGAGGGAACAGTTGCAAATGGAATGGGCCAATTCATTTTTACAGCAATTCAACTCAACCCTACCGTAGGTCAGCTGATGGGATAAGGCTTAATGCACCCTGAGTAACAATGTTGGAGAACTGTGGCAACCCATTAAGAAGCTGATGCATGTGGGGACAATGTTAGTTTTTAAGTCCCATTGGAGGCAGTGAGAACAATACTGGGTGGAGTTCAAAACAGAAATTCAAAATGGGTAAGTTCCCAATTGTCAACTTGGTCTAAAACTCGAATCATATCCCTTTAGTTCCAGCCCTTGCTGTCCATGACTGCAGGCTCCCGCTGGGAACAAGGAAATCACCCAGAGCCGTAGCATCCCACCTTGTAGCATCCAGATATTGTCCACGGAAAGAAATGCATGCCCAATCCATGAGTGAAATGAATAAAACCAACCACATAGCAAGAGATGTTAAGAGACCCTCCCTGCCTGCACTGTTGTGTCACTCTGAAGTTGTAGCTTTCAACTGCTCAGAGTGTAATAGAATCAGTCCTGATGCTGTGGTACAAGCTTAAGTCTTCCTTTTGGATATTTTTCATCAATATGTGATACCTGTAGCAAAGCAGTGTGCCTGCACAGAACCAGGCTGTGTACTGTGCATGAATTGAATGTCTTTCTTTGATTGAATTGTTCTGTGCTTCTTTTAATAAAAACTGGTTGATTACTACTACAAAAGAGTTTGCGATTCATGCAAGACTATTCGCCAAAAATGAAAAAGATGTGAGTGGTAGAGGACATTCTGAATACCAAGACACCTCTTTCGCACATATATTCTTTCATTTTTTATTCCCTGATAGGATATGGGTGTCCGTTGCTGTACCTTCATTTATTGCCCATTCCTAATTGCCCTGCAGACGGCGACTTTCTCTCTTAAACCACGACAGACTATGGTGGTAGGCACCCGCCGTAATCATATTCAGTTCTGTTAAGGGAGGAGTCCCAAGATTTTGATCCAACAGCAGTGAAAAATCAGCGAAGTAATTCCAAGTCATGATGATGTGTGTCATGGAGGGGAACTTGGGGTATCAGATGGTGATGTCCTCGACCTTCTAGCTTGGAATGTGTTGTCTAAGGAGCATTGGTGAATTACTGGAGTGCTTCTGTAGATGGCACACTGCAACAACAGTGAAAGGAGGTAAATGTTGAATGTCGTGGATGGGCTGTTTTGTCCTGGACGTTATTGAGCTTATTAAGTCTTGTTGGAATTGCACCCATCCAGGCAATGCAGTGCATTTCATCACATTGCTGAATTGCATTTCGTAGATGGTGGACAGATACTGGGGAAACAGGAGGTGAGTTACTCGCTACATTATTGCAAGCCTCTGATTTACTCTTGTAGTCATAATAGTCAGATGTCTAGTCCAATTCAGGTTCTGCTCAATTGTAACACCCAAGATGGTGATAGTAGGGGATTCAGCAATTACATTGTCAGTGGACATTAAGGGGTGACGGTTAGTTTCCCTATTTTCTGCTCTTTCTTGTGTGGCACGAGCATTACTTGCAAATTATCAACCCAAGCCTGGATATTGTCAATGTTTTGATGCATATGGAAATGGACTGCTTCAGTATTGAAGGCATTGCAAATAGTCTTAAATATTATACAACCATCTGTAAATATCTCTACTTCTGACCTTAAGATGGAGGAAGGTCTTTTGTGAAACATTGCAGATGGTTGGGCCAAGGACACTACACTGAGAAACTCATGCAGCAATGTCCTGGAGCTGAGATGATTGATCCGCAACAACAACAATTATCTTCCCATATGCTAGGTGTGACTCCAACCAGCAGAGACTTTCCCCGATTCCCATTGATATTAATTTTGCTAAGGTTTCTTGATGTCAAACTGTATTAAATGTGGTCTTGATGTCAAGGGCTATCAGCCATGGAGTTCAGCTCTTTTGTCCATGTTTGGATCATGCCTGTATCAATGTCATGAGCTAAATGATCCTGGCAGAACCAAAACTAATTGTCATTGAGCAAATTATTGCCATGTGAGTCTGCTTGATAATACCACCCACAATCCCTGTCAGAACTACACTGATGATCAAGAGTAACATGATGGGGTGGCAATTGGTTAGATGTCCTGCTTTTAATGGACAGGATATACCAGAAAAATTCTACATTGTTGGGTTATTCGCAGTTTTGTAGCTTTACTGGAACAGCTTGTCCAGCACTGCGACGAATTCTGGATTGCAAGTCCTCTGTAACATTACCAGAGCCCACAGTCTTAGCAATAAGTGGAGCCTGCAGCTGTTTATTGATGTCATGTAGAGTGAACCGAATTAACTGAAGACTGGCTTTTGTGATGCTGAGGACCTCATGAGGAACAGATGTATTGTACACTCGGCACTTTTGGCAGAAGTTGGATGCTGATGCTTCAGCCTTGTCTTTTACACCAATGATTTAGGCTTCTCAACATTGAGGACAGGATAGTTTCCAATCTCTCCTATTGAGAATTGTTTGAACGTCCATCATAATTTACAAATGGATGCGGCAGGACTTCAGACTTAGGTTTGATATGTTGGTTATAGGGTCACTTAGCCCTGCCTATCATAAGTTGCCTCTAAAGTGCAAGTATTTTGGCATGAATGCGTTAACACCTCATTTTTAGACACCTCTTGGCATGCCGTCCTGCATTCTCCAATGAAGCAGGGTTGGTCCCCTAGCCTGATCATATTTCCAGAATGGGGGAATATCTCAAGCCATGACAATACACTATGTGGTTGATTGGGCAATCTGGAAAAGCAGGATTCAGAGTGCCTCAGGGATACCCAGTTTTTAGTTGCCAGATCTCTTCAAAATCTAAGCGATTTAGCATGGCGGTAGTGCCACAAAACACAAAATGAAAAATAAAGACAGAATTACACCTTTGCAAGGACTCTGTGGCGAACATTCCTGCTAACACTGTCGAGGGCAGATGCATTTGCAACAGGTAGATTGTTAAGTACAAAGTTTTTGTTGTTTTTATTTCCCTGATACAACCCAGTCTAGAAGTGGTGTCTTTTTAGGTTTTGGTCAGTAATGGTGCTACCAAGTCACTCATCATGAGGGACATTAAAATCCTCCACCACAGCATCAACCACCTTCCCCCACCACTTCAAGTGCAACTTTTTCTTCTTTCAATTAGTGTTCAACATCAAGGAGTACTAATTCATTAAGCAAGGAAGGGAGACAGGAGAGAGGTAGATGGTAACAAGAAGGAGATTTCCTCACCATTGTTTGACCTGATACCATGAGACTTTATGAAGTCTGGATTGAATATTTTGGAGTCCCAGGGTACCATCATACCAACTGTAAACTACTGTACCACCACCTCAACGAGTCTATTCAGCTGGCAAGACAGGAAATACGCAAGAATGATAATGGTAGTGCCTGAAATCATGCCTGTAAGGTATGATTCCATGAGTTTGACTAGTCAGACAGTATGTCGACCAGTCTTTGGCACAGCTGTTCCAATTCTGGCACAAGATTTTGCAAGGAAAACTTTACAGAGTTGTCAGGGTTGGTTCTGATGTTGTCAGTTCTGTGCCTAGATCAATGCTGGTGGCCTGTCCAGATTATGTTTCCCTTTCCTTAAGAATCGTCACAGTTAGATACAACAGATTTGCTCTCTAGACCATTTCAGATGGCAGTTAAGTGTCAACCATATTGTTGTGGATCTGGACTCACACGTAAGTCAAACCAGATAAGGATGATAGATTTCATTTTCTACAGTGCATTACTGAACTAGATAGGGTGTTAAACAATCAAATGCTGCTTTTTAACCTCAGATTTATAAATCTATGTTTCTTCATCTACTGTGATAGCCTAGCTGTCAATTATTTCTCCGTGACATTACCACTACACCACCACATTCCTTCTAACATTCACACACTCTTTTCCCCTCTGTCTTTCTTAAGCAGGGAGATCAGCCCAGATGGCAAATGCACGGTGTAGAATAACACTAAAAACAAAGATTTTATTCTTGCCCCAGATCAGCTAGACTTGGTACATTCCCCCAGCTCTCTCCCTAAAAATGAAAGACAATGAAAATCCATCACCACACAAAATCTGCCATGAAACGACTCAGAATGGTGCATCAACAGGTAATGAGCCAAAGGACTACCTTTGGGCAGAGTACACGTGATGCAACATTTTCTGTGGTTAAAAGAATAATCAAAAATGCTGTGCTGAACCCATTCTAAATCTTGCCTCTGGGGAATACCAAATCCACTACACCATTCATTTAAATCTTGACTAATCATTCACCGCAATCCACGTTGTTCCTTCTCTATCTCCATCTCCTTTGTGTAATTAGATTTGACAGTTCTCTATGTTTTATCATCCTTCATGTGAGAAAATTTCTCCTCATCTCAGTTTTAAATCGTCTGCCCTTTATCCTGAGATTACATCTTTTGATTTTAGACTCATCACCCTGGGAAATATCTTACCTCACCACCCTGGGAAATATCTTACCTACATCTATTCTGCCACACCTTGTAAGAAATTTGTAAGTTTCGTTTGTATTTCCTGAACCTCTGTAGAATACAGGCCAGAACTCCTCCATTTGCCTTCATAAAACAATTCCTCCATCTCTGGGATTAATCTGGTGAACCTCTGTTGCATTTCCTCTATGGTTAATATATACTTCCTTAGATTAAGGGAGCAAAAATGTACACAACACTCCAGATGAGGTCTCACTAATGCTCTATGCAACTGCAGCTTGACATATTTACTCTTCCATTCAAATCCCCTCACAGTGAAGACTAACTTCCTAATTGCTTGCTGCATTTATACACTAACTTGAAGTGATTCAAAAACAAGGACACCGAGGTCTGAAGTGGTGGGAGCGTGGAATGCGCTGCCAGCAGTGGTAGTGGAGTCAGATACTTTAGAGACTTTTAAGCGACTCTTGGATAGGCACATGGAGGATAGTAAAATGTAGGGGTAGATTGATCTTAGTAGGATAATAGGTCGGCACAACATCGTGGGCCAAATGGCCTGTACTGTGCTGCACTGTTCTATGTTCTATGTTCTAATTTCACTTCCTATCTCTCACCATTTAAGAAATATTCTGCTTTTCTGTTTCCTTTTTCCATTAAAATAAATAACTTCATGCTTATTTACATTATATCCTGTCTGCCATGTTATACCCATTAACTTAGCCTGTTCAAGTTCTCTTGAAGCTTCCTTGTTTTCATTCATATTTTCATTTATCCTTATCTTTTAGTTTTTTTTAACACTTGTTCTTTCTTTGCTGGGTTCTAAATTGGTCCTGATTCTTAGTCTTACCACAGTTTTCTGGCATCCATGTCTCACTTCCGTTGGCTTATAAAGATCTAATGCAATCTTTACCTTCTTTTATTAACTACACACCCTTCAGTTTCATTCCGTTCAGGAAAGTTTACCTGTTGCAAACTTTGACACCATTGCCTGTCTACTGACAAATCCTTTTGTGAATATTTTCAAAATCCACCACAGTCAACTTATTCATAACTGTGTAATTATTCAGAACTAAACCCCGAGCTTCAGAAACATATTGCATTCAAAAATGCTATCATATTATAGTCACTATTTCACGAAGGCTCCTTTAGTGTGGTTATTAATTAGTCTTGGTTTATTACACAACTCTAAATACAAAATATCCCAATTGATAGTTCGTTTCTTAATAT